TCAAGGCCAGGTTGGATGAGTCTTTGAGCAACCTGGTGCAGTGGAGGGTGTCCCTGTCCATGGCAGGGGGGTTGGAACTAAGTGATCTTTGAGGTCCCTTCCAACCCAAACCATTCCATGATTCTATGATTTCCTCCTCCTAGCACTCTGCACTGCCCTCGCAGCCAGGACTGCTCTTGCAGGTTTTGAGACAGATTGCACAGATTGTGGCGATGAGGTCAGTCTCCTCCCAGGAGATTCCTGCAGGCCTTTTCCATCCTCTCCTATCAACACAAGTTAAACACCAGCTACCGCCACCATTGCTCCCACTCTGTTTACAAAGCTCTGCCCCACTCCCCTCGATGCGATGTTGTCATTGCCATCGTAGCAGTGTGATACATGCTTGTGTGGTTACCTAAGTGCTCATTTCTTCCCACAACCATTTTAATTTTCCTCTTTAGATACCTGTCATAAGCACAGAAATACTGTGAAAAATCCTGGGTTACTGTGCTACCAGATCTGCTCTGCAGATTTTCCTTGTGAGACATGGGCAGCTGATTTAGCTTCTCTTTGCTCCACTTCTCTGTAGTGGGGATTTCTCTCCTGTGCAGTGGGATTGTGAGAATAAATACTTTCTAAATTGTGAAGCACTCAAAATACTGCAGTAGTGGGGACTATATATATGTCAGAATAGACAAGGAAGCAGCAGTAAACTTATTATTGTTTGGGACTTGATCCTGTAAACACACATCTGAGTCTCCACCTTTCCATGAGGGAAGCCAAGTCTCAGAACCGGTCCAAGGAGCAGAGTCTTGTGAGCATGAACGTGTCCTGGACTAGGCCATCCTGGATCCTTTGAGGGTTATAAATCATACGTTACGTGGCTTCAGAGTTTCTTTTAATGTAGCCTCTCCATTTGTTCCCAGTTCCTACGTGCTTTGCTCTTAGAATGAGTCACCAGAAGCTGCTGCTCATGCATTTTCCTTTGCTTTAAATGTGTGCTTTATTTTAAGAAGCTGAATCTCCGGTTTCTCAGAACCTGAAACTCCTTTTTTCAGTTTGACAAGTGGACAGATGGTCAGAGGCGGAGGATCCTGGAGGACCTGTTGGAACGCTGTTCCCCATCACAGCAGAAATTCTGTGCCAAGCAGCTACAGGATCGAGTTCCCATTGAGGCTCTAGATTTTACCACAAGGCTTCCTAGAGTCCTGTCTTTATACGTCTTTTCCTTCCTGGACCCACGGAGCCTCTGTCGATGTGCACAGGTAAAAAAAACAATGTGTACCTAAGGTTCAGAAAGTCAGGTCCAGCTAGTTATGAAAAAGGGAAACGGCACTAGTTTTCAGCAAAGACATACCAGTGCTGTTCTTCATGACACAAGGATGTCTTCTGACTTGGCAGCCTGGTGCCAAATACTTAGTGCTGCTTGTATGAGACTGAATGCAATGCTTCCACAGATCCTAAATCAAGCCAGACTGGCCAAGATTTACAAAAGCAAAGAGTAATTTTAGATGCTGAGCTCTAAGGCATTTAAATTGAGGCACTTTAAGAGACAGATTCTTCCCAAGGAGGCGGCCTGGTACTTTTGGAAAATCACGTTCTTATAAAGTACCTTGCACTGTATACAGAATCATTACTTGCTTTGAAAAGTATTGGCTTGTGCTAGTTGCAAGAACTGCACACGATGCTTTAAGAAAACCAGATGCTTTAAAATGCTCGAGGGTAAGATGTTGGATATGGAGAAGCAGAGAAGTTACAGATGTGTTTTTGAGCACAGTGAGTAGGGCTTCAGTCTTTTGAACACAGTGGCTAAGACTCCAGAAATATGTTTCCGTGAAATAAAGTGCTGTGAGATGACACCTAAAGTAGTTCGGAATGAATAAGTTCAGATATTGGTGACATTATTACTGCACTAACATAGCACTCCATGTAATACTACAAATGTTTCAAAATCTCAGCTTGTTTCAAGCCTGCTCTAATATCTTTCTCCAGCATTTCATGTTTTATATGGATGCAACTCAACACTATTCATTCACAGGCAGGGAGAAGACAGGTTAGGAAATTACTTAGAAAGCAAGGTCTTTACAGTGCCACTTGTGTCATATCATTGACTAGCTGCTATTACAAGTATGGCAGTGCCAGTAGATGATGTTTGTTCTTAAGGTGGAAGAAGCATTGCACGCAAAGTAACACTGTGATGGAGTATAGAAGCAGAACATGAGTAGGAAGAAAATGTTCAGAACGGGTCTATCAAACTTCGGGAGTTTACTGATGCTATTTTTCTCAGTGGAAACTACTGAAACAACTACTCCAACTACTGGAGACCTTATAGCAGCCTTCCAGTACCTAAAGAGGCTACAGGAAAGCTGGAGAGGGACTTTTGACAAGGGCATGTAGGACAAGGGGCAATGACTTTGAACTTGAAGAGGGGAGATTTTGATGAGATATTTTTTATTCAGAGGGTGGTGAAACATTGGCACAGGTTGCCCAGAGAAGTTGTGGCTGCCTCATCCCTGGAAGTGTTCAAGGCCAGGTTGGATGAGGCTTTGAGCAACCTGGTGTAGTGGAAGGTGTCCCTGCCCATGGCAGGGGGGTTGGAAGTAGATGATCTTTGAGGTCCCTTCCAACCCAAACCATTCTATGATTCTATGAAAGGATTTATTCCAACTACTATATGCTTATTGAGTAGAAGTGCAGGAAGTTGACCCAAACAAGCTGAATTTCTTTCTCTTGGCCTGTGATTTTGGAGTATTTCACCATATGCTGGAGATCAGGTAACACTTAGGCACTGAGCAGGTGATGAAGACCTTGAATGGTTTAAATGGTTTCATGAAAGGTTCAAATTGAGCATAAACAGTGCTGAAGCACTGTACTAGTTTAAGGATATAGGAGAATTGCATCCACAGCACAGAAGTCTCTAGCTGCAATCTCAGATGCTTGAAACTCCAAGTTTTTCAACTTACTGGGCATTCACAGGTTAGCTGGTACTGGAAGTACCTGTCTGAACTGGATCAACTCTGGATGCTGAAATGCCTACGTTTTGGCTGGTACATCAACTTCTCTCCAACCCCCTTTGAGCAAGGAATCTGGAAGAAACATTACATTGAGATGGTGAAAGAGCTCCATATCACGAGACCAAAGGTACATACCTACCACCTCTAGAGATGTTCGGGGCTAATGGGAGAACTGAGCTGGTTGGGTGCCTAAGCCCTCTGCCTCTTTATCATTCTGTAATCTCCCACTAGTAAAATAGAAGATAGATACATCATTTTAAATTAGAATATAAACTCATGTGTTGCCATGCACTCTACTTTCCCATCATCCATCCCTGGTAGAGACGAAGTGAAGATCTAACTGGTTAGGAGAAGCAATGACCAAGGTTGCACTCCGCTATCCTTTCAGGGTGTTCTGGAGTAATCCTCTAAATTTCCCTCTCCAGCACTCAAGGCTGTTCCCCTCTCTTTTCCCCAGTTTATAGAGCATATCATAGCTTACCATGATCTGATAAGCAGAGGTGGGGTACCTAGCATCACGCCTGCTCATATTTCGGAGTTGGTTTACCAGTTGGAAAGGAAAAAAACATCCATTATGCACATTATAGCCCTTGGCATTGTCTCTTTCTCTCCTCTTCAAAGGTGAGAGGGCCATTTTGGGGAGGTGGAACATTACTCAGTAGCCATTGCTTTCTCCTGAGATTCATTGATGTCATGCCTGGTTTGCAGGACTGGGAGAGTGGTATTCTTCTGCCCTGAATTCAAAACTCAGCCTTCTAATTTGAACCAAACTCCCTCGTAGACTCTCTGTAGTCAATAGAGAGAAGCCAGTGTATCTCCAAAGCAGTTCAGCTCATCTTAGAGATTTTAGGAGATGGGCAATGACGTGCACTGTCAGGGTGCCTATTTTTGTCCACTGACCATAATAGAGCCTGGAGAGACTAATTTTGAGTTAACATCCAGTTCTTAGAAGTCTAAAGTTAAGCAAAATAAATCTCATTTTCATTATAGGCTAAAATTTATTTTCTTCTTTTAATATCTTTTGTTAGACTCCATCAAAGGATGAGTTTGTAGTTATTGATGTGCAACCGGTAAGAAGCAACATCCCAGAGGCAAAACTTTCTTTGCCAGGAAGGAGGACAAACAAGGAGAAAAAGAAGCTCCCACCGTGGCGTTCATCAGACAGGCATCCTACAGACACCATCCGATTCAACTACCTCGACAACTACGATCCCATTGAGCAGGCTCGGCAGGCGTAAGTGCTTGATCTCTTCCCTTTTGCTTTTTCTGTGATGAAGGGTATAGAATCATGGAATGTTTGGGGTTGGAAAGGACCTTCAGGATCATCTAGTTCCAACGCCCCTGCCATGGGCAGAGACACCCTCCACTACATCAGGTTGCTCAAAGCCTCATCCAACCTGGCCTTGAACACTTCCAGGGATGGGAGCCACAACTTTTCTAGGCAACCTAGTCCAGTGCCTCACCATTCTCATTTAAAAACTTTTTTCCTTATATCTAATCTAAATCTTCCCTCTTTCAGTTTAAAGCCATTGCCCCTTGTCCTGTCACTACACGCCCTTGTCCAAAGCCCCTCTCCAGCTTTCTTGTAGCCCCATTAGGTACTGGAAGGCTGCTGGAAGGTCTCCCCGGAGCCTTCTCTTCTCCAAGCTGAACAACCCCAACTCTCTCAGCCTGTCTCCATAGCAGAGGTGCTCCAGCTTTAGGATCATTTTTGTGGCCTCCTCTGGATCCGCTCCAACAGCTCCATGTCCTTCTGATGCTGGGGACCCCAGAGGCCCCCTTTAGGTACTGGAAGGCTGCTATAAGATCGCTGCAGAGCCTTCTCTTCTCCAGGCTGAACAAAGCCAACCTGGAGATTTCTCGTTTGTGTTAATACCACCTCTCATTTTTCCTGGGCTCACAGCAGTCACCTCAGTTCAGCTGATGTGCAGTAACTTGTGAAACTGGTAATACTATCATTAATCTGAGTCTGGTGAACAGGTAATGGATTAGCTTGACCGTTGCCTAGTTTCTGTGTGAGTCCCTGTGAAAAGGACTGACACAGACTCTCACCCAACCGAACGTGCAAAGAGGAGGAGATTCCTCTTCACTGTGCCAACAAAAACCTTGGGAACCAATTGAGCCACAAGGAAAGTATCCAGATTGTACTTTAAGTAAATAACTGGTAGAGCTGAGATTAGCCCTGTGCACAGGAACAATCAACCCAGGAATTACCCCAGCCCAGTGATTATTTGGCAAAGCAGTCGTGCACTCACATAGGCTCTTTCTCAATGGGATTAATTTTGCCGGACCCACCACTCCTCCGGGGTGTTCCACAAAGTTCCCAGTGTCTGAGCAAAAGCCTTTTATGAATCATTTCTTAATCCGCGTCCCCTAGTCCTAGGATACTGCACTACTTCAAAGAGCTTTCCAGTTTCCACCTCACCCTCCTTCTGCAGTATGTTTCCAAACTCTAGCCCCATTTTGGGTAGAGTTCTTTGAGGCTTTTAACTAAATATTTTGCCAAAATGCCTCTTGTTGCAAACAGATCTCCTGATATTATTATTCGGTTGTGCTAAATGTTACTGTGTAGAGACTCCCAAAGGTTTCTGTGAGGTTTAGAGTTCTCTTGTGCCAGCCAGGACCCAGTGTCAAAACTGGGACAAACCTTGTTTGAAGAGTTTAAGAGTCGCTTGTTCCAGCATTGAGCTGTAGATGCAGCTGACAACCAGATGCAAATGATTCTCAGTTGCTAATGATACAGTAAGCGCGCTGACTGTTTTCTTCTCCTAAGTGAGATTTGAGCCTCTATCCATTGGTGCAATGGAGAATATTTTAATGCCTAGTGTTCTAGCAAATCTGGCATTTATCCATAATTATAGAGGATTACTGCAGGGAGAGAAAGGAATTCTATGAGATTTGCTTGTTTATCAAGGATCGCCCTTTAATATCACTTAAGCTGAAAGTAATTGCTAGTGTGTAGTCTCATCTGTAATGATTACTCAGCAACAGAAGTGTGCCGTTTCAGGTGCTGACCCAGCTTCCCACTCACCGAATGATGTTATAGTGCTTCTTTTCTGTGGACACATTGCCAACAGAGTCCCCTCTGCAGACCTTTCTCTGCTAAAGGTCTATGGGGAAGAGAAGAGAAAAGAAGAGAGGAGAGGAGAGGAGAGGAGAGGAGAGGAGAGAACTGTTTCAGTTGGAAGGGATCTACAACGATCATCTAGTCCAATTCAGGACTCTAGAAAGCCTGTTCCAGTGTTTGACCACCTCTCAGTAAAGAAATGCTTCCTAATGTCCCATCTAAATATTGTGTCTGCCATCCTTTGCTTCTAGGCAGCTCCCTGGGGATTGGGTCTTCAGCACTTCACCCGGCTCCCTGACTGCATGTCATGGTTTCGCCCAGCTGGCAACTAAATGCCACACAGCCGCTCACTCACCCTCCCCCACCCCCGGGAAATGGGGAAGAGAATTAAAGGGGAAGAGGGAAGGAGACTCATTGGTTGAGAGAAGAACAATTTAATAATAATAA